CACCTAGTGAGATAATTAAAACTCAGATCTACTAGTTCATACTTTAAAGAATTTTTCTTTTTTCCTTTTTTTTTTTTAAAAAAAATCATAGGCATGTTCGAAAATAGAATGGAATAATGAATCAGAGTGCTTCATCCGCTATATATTCATGAGAAGTGTAATTGCTTCTTACTATTCTCAGAAATCTGTCCATAGCATATTAAGTACACTAGAGAATCATACCAGTGAAAATCAAATTGATTTTAAAACTTCTATACATATAAAAAGATGCAGTTGCACTCGCACTGCAGTGGCACCGGCGTTTCTCCAGTGAAGGGGATTGAAAAGTGGGGATGACTCCACTTTACCTGATTTCCTTGACCTGCAATAGCTTTGAGCTGTCTTACCAGCTTACCCCACTGCATTCAATTTCAAATCACTTAACTTCACTAAAGTTATTCAAAACGGATATGCAAAACCTTACTCTGGGATTGCAAGTGGAAATACTGTCATTTATATTTTTGAGTAGGTAATATTTTGACCAAACTACCATTCCCCTTATCTATCTGACTTGGGTCTAATTTTAAAGAATCTAGAGATAAAAGTTCTCCTGGCTATTGGGTAATTTTGGCTGCTTAAGAACTTCATGTTTGGTCCCTCTAAGCATACAGAATTATATCTGCTGTATGTAAGGTTAATGACCATTAACAGGGAGGTTTTTAAAAAATCGTTTAAAAATGTAATCTCTTTGAAATTGCTGAAAAGTAATAGTTACCGATAAGGCTGAAAGATTAAAGAAAAGCTAAACTTAATTAAAATGATGAACTAAAAGATCAACTGGAACAAAGTATTGTTGCTAAACTGAATTTTTTTTAGGGATCAATTAAATACAGGTCTATATCTTTGTTCAGAGAAAGGTCATAGAGATTTTCTGATTAACGATATTTATGGTTGCCACGGGAGTGAAAAATTCCTATAAAAATCAAAAATTGCATACTGACTTATCAGGCAGTTTGAAAAGACATTTCGTTCTTTTTTTGTTATAGCTATATAAGCATAGAACTAAAATATTGATATTTTCCAATAATAATGGTTGAATTAAACATTGGCTAAAGGGACACAGGGTTATATAAATCTTATCAGATTTTTTTTTGTGTAGACTACTATCGTAGTACTCATACTGCTTTCTTAGGTAATCTGTCTCCTCCTCTTGATTGGAAGCAATGTGAGGGCAGGGACTGGTGTTGATTTCTATTTCTGAATTCCCAGAGTCTAGGAAAGTACTTAGCACACAGTAGGCATTCAAAGATATTTGTGGAGTAAATAAGTAAATAAACAAAGGAATGCTATGATGTAGATAACGGCTGTTACATGGGGGAAAATGTCTTCATTAATGAGTAAAGAATACTGGATAAAACATTTGGCTGCTACCACTCCAAAGCAGCTAATCACAAGCGCTCATAATCTCTTTGGCTCATCTGAATTTCTGACACTTTGCCAAATAAACGGATAAATGGATTCTTGGAATCTGACCACAAGTAAATACATTAATACCAAAACATAGGTCACTTGGGCCCCCAGTCTGGGATTTTCCCAAATGTGTATTTCAGTCTGAAGACCATAAGCTAATATTTTCTAAAAGCAATGGCAGCTGAAGGTGCACCAAGTTAAGTCCCACAACAATCCAAACCCTTTAAACACTTCTTGGTGTTTAAAACATTTCCACATGCTAAGCCAAAAACCCCATAAGGATGAAGTTCTTGTGACCCAAGATTTCAAGGTAAAGTTAACAAAATACAGCCTTCACCTGAAATTTACTTATTTTGATAATATATTTTTATCCCTTCCATGTTTCACCTGTCTCCCATTCAATACAAGATAATAAGATTGTATAACCTCCTACTACATACTTCCCGGAATAATGTGAGAATGAAACTGTGATATAGAAAAATCAATGTGGAACAAGTTTCTCTGGGAATCTGTATCAAATTAATTATTGTGAGGTAGGGACTAGCAATATATCAATAGTATCACTAGGTGTTATTACCAATATAACTATTGACTGCACTGCCCTGAGCTCTAGGAACTGTGGAATTATGAGAACACCGATCCTGACTGTACTTTTACTTACTTCCTTTTAGCATTTATATTTCCATCTTAATATCAAACAACAGTAGATTCCATGGTTTTTATCTGCTTGGCTATCATTCTTGAGGTTCCGATGGCTTGTTAGGGTTTACTAGACTCAATAAGCATGCGGAAAACAAACCCCTCTTAAAGCCAGAAATTTGTTGTCAAATTCCATCCAAATCAGAGGAAGATGAAAGAGAGAAATTCAGTTTTTAACAAATATATAGAGACTATTAATATACATAAAATGAAGAGAATACAGCTCTGTGAAGGAATTAGTTTCTTCAAATATATTTATTAATAGATTGCTTACAGGTATGGGTATGCACGGTTGTTGAAGTGTTAACTGAAAACTTCTTTAAAAAATTATGAATGCTAGCTGTTAAATGCA